AATGCCAAAGAGTATCAGCTACTTAAGAATGCAGACAAACACAGGCTGAGAACAACCTCCTCCATGTTGTCAGTTCCTCCCCCAGATTCATCTGGGAGATTCACAAACTTGTTCCTGAATTATTATTTCAGTTTGCTGATGAGCAGCAGTATCTTGTTAGTCTTCAGCCACTGGAGCTGTGTAAAGAAGAGCGAGAGACTGAGATAACAGAAAGAGGATGCAATTGTGAAATGGCTGGTTTATGTGTTAAAGCTATTTACAGAGAGAACAAGACGTGTGGCAAATCCTCTAGATTTTGGAAGAGAAGGGGTGACACTGACAGTCTTGTCGGTGTTGAGTAGTCCAGTTTTTTTAATTAAAACTATTTTTATTCATTTGTTTGGGTTAGCTATCCCTTTAACTTCATTTATCTTTTAATTAGCTGTATAAGATAAATGAGTTCATAACATGGAAATACAAGAAAATAAACTGTCCGTTCTATTTTAAAGTCTTACTTCTCTTTGTAGGCCATTTTAAACACTTTTCCTTGTATCTTTGATAGATGGGAAGCATATGTTTTTGCATTGAAAGATAACTTGACCATCTCACAGTTTTCCACATTAACCGGAAAGCTTCTCTGCTGAGAATTTCCTGCTGTTTTCAAGAAACTGGAAGCACAGCACTACAGCCTTAAGTGATATATAAACAAAGTATAAGTGCTAAAAAATTTTCAGAGCTTCAACAGAGACTTAACTGTGCTGCTAGTAAAAGATGTTTCATCTAGCTGTATCTGAGGGAAAAAACTCCTGAGGCAGGACTTGGAGATCGCCTATAACTAACAATTACATTTTAGACTGTCTTTTCTTTTGGAAGTAGTATTACTGCTAACCTGCATATCCTTTAATATATCTGGTAATCCTCACACTGTCTTGGCAAACATACTTTTGTTCCTAATGTGCTCTGGATGTTCAGTGACAGCCTTCTTTTTCTTCTTGTCCTCTCCCCTCCCTTTGAAATCCATTTCTGTGCATGACAATATTAAGGAGAGGCCTTTATACAAAAATGTTTAGCTTGATGTGGACCTATTTATTATTTAAAGTTGGTTCACTCTGTTAAAAAAGCATTCTTTTTTTTTAGGGGAATACACTAGTCTAACACTAAGTCTAAAGCCACTCTTAAACTAGTGCCGCTGAAGGATGAGGGATTATTTTTATTATATGCATTCCTGTCAGTTGCTTATATACTGCTCCTTATAGCTGGAGAACTGAGTAATAGCTCTGCATTACTGGTTTGAGGTGTTTTGTATCCTTTACTGCTGAAATATAAAATGTGAAATCATATATATACTTTATAATTGTAAATATGAAAATGGATTCTATGAACATTGCAATTAAATTGTCATTACATGTGAAGAAAGCTAGGATCTAGAGAAAGCCAAGTACAAGCCACCACCAATAAATTTCTAAATGCATCTTCCCAGAAAACTACCTATGAGTAATTGGGAAGTGTCACAACAGCGAGGGATGCTACACAGTTTGTTCCCTAACACGGCTGTAGATCTACAGTTTCAGGGCCAAAGGTGTGCAAGGAAAGCAGATTGTTGTTCACCAGTGGCAATAAAATAGTATTTGTTAAGACTATGACCCTTTCAGAGAAGATGAACAAACACCTCTTTCCTTTAGAAAATAATTTTTCTGCGGAGTACCTGCCTTGAGCTGTGGCCTTAAGTCTGTTTGGTAAGCACCAGGTTTTTGTATTTCTGGACTGGCTGAAGAAAGCACCTGCATGTTTAGGCAAGTGATGCAGCAACTTGCTCAGACAGCTGACTTCAGTTTAGGGAATTGAGCATCCAGTACTAACTCCAAATTCTATGTATGACTGAAAACAAAATACATTATAGTTGTCATGAGGTTTCCAGAGGCAGAGCCCATGTATATAAAATACCAGAGCATACGTGGATATACCAGTCAAAGGTATGAAGGGTTTTACAGGTTGAAGTGTGCAGTACAGACACACCAACCCCCTCCGAGTTCTCTGTTGTACATGTCGGGGAAGAGGTGCTCCTTCTGGGTGGGCCAGCGCTACCCATACTTAGTGATACAAGAATACACATCTGGAAGTGGCCACATCAGAAATTACCACGCTGGAACATCGGCTCAATAGCATGAAATGGCAGGTACTGATTTTTGCTACCAAACACCTACAGCCACCAGAGCCAAGCAGTTTTCAGTTTCAAATGGCTGGGCTTTGCTATACTACAGTCCTAGGCAGACTGCAGGTATTAATCTGGAGCTCCCACAGTGGCAGGGGAACAGGTCTGTACTTTGGTTTCTTTTTGCCCTTAGCATGGCAGGCAGCTGTGCAGAAAACAACTCGTACGCAGTACAAAACCTTCTCCCTTTGTGCTTAGTTTCCAGAAATGAATGCTATGATAATGAGACGATTCAGTAAGCCAGGAGACGTTGAACGTGCTCGGAAATACGTGTTGCAGGTAGGACTGATACCAAATATTTAATTCTTAAAGCGCTGTCCCTGCTGATGTCAATCTGAAATTCATTGCCTCTGAAGTAAAATAGCAGAGCTGCATTTTCAAAGACATATTAAGTAGCACGCTTTGTACAATACCAGGTTAGTACTCTTCAGCTATCTTACTGGCACAGTGTTTTTACAGAAATGCTAGGTACTGAAAAGCTTTTTTTTTTTTTTTCTCCAATAGCATAAAATCCACATAATAAAAGCAAAAAGTTCATGCATGAAACTCAGTTCCTTCAGCTGAAGAGTAGCTGTATCCAACAACTGGTGTAAGCGGCCTGTAACTTCCAGTCAGCCTTGTAACTGCAGTGCACACTCTGTATCAATTTTGTCTCTGGACTGAATGACTGTCTGTGCAAAATTAGTACCTATTTTTTTAAGGACAGCATGTTGGTTTTGTACATCTCTATTTGGGGCAGGAGGAGAGGGGTTAAACCTGCTGAGCAGTATGTTATTAATGCCAGGGTTTTGTAAATGTACATAAGTTTAGCATGGATGAGTTTTAACATTTTGACATTTTGGGGAAGAGATGTAGGATTCAGTGAGTATAGAATGAACCTTCTTCCTTTCCCCTTCTGAATATAATTAAGCGTTCTGGGTACTTACTGACCCTAAAACTTCCTCCTGTAACTGGAAGAGGCAAAAGGCAGGAAGGAGGCTGACCAGTTACCCATTACCTTTAACTGTCTTCTTACATAAGAGTGATGGTGTGCAGCAAACGACCTACCTCGCCCAGCGCTACTGCCATGAAGCTACAAGAGAGATCAGTAAACTCCGGCCGTCCCCTGAAAGAGAAGCCCTCATTCAGCTGACAGAAATGGTACTCGTGCGAGACAAGTGAGAGAATTCCTTCCACTCGTTCTGGCAGCTACTTACCAGACTGTGCCTACATTTACTTCAAAAGTTAATTGCTTCTGACATGTGCTACCAAAAATTATTTTTTTAAAAAAAAACCACCTTTTTTTTCCTTGAAGTTCTACTTTTTTTAAAAAAAAAAAAAAAAAATTCGAAGTGTTTTTAATTGTGGGAAGCCATGCAATCCCAAGCAAATCGGACTGTGCTGTACAGTTGTTTTAGTGTGGGCTATTAATCATGGGGGTGGCTGGGGAAGATGTTTACACATTGATGCACAAAGGCCACAGTGAGAATAAATGTAAATCAGATACAAACATGAGAACTGAAGTTGTTCCAAGTTTCATTTTTTCACACTAATAAACAGAGCATACACATTACTGTCTGGTAAATGCTGAAGAGAGGTGGTTTGAATACTTCCCTGGCTGTTGAAACTACAAAAGTACCTGAAAGCGTATATATGGAAATTGGCTTATTACAGAAGACTATATGTAGACTTTTAATTGGTTATATACGTCAATGAGCAGTTTTCCGATTCATAATGAAATACAGGTATGCTGTGGGATGCTACGTGGTAGCAGTTAGCAAGACGCAGAAGTCAAGATTGCTACAATTAAGAAAACAAAAGGTTCGGTATTTCTAACTCACACTAAAAATGAAGGATTCAGCAGCCAGTTAAAAGCTTCAACTCCATCACTCATTTATGGAGCATATTCAGTACTCTCCTACAAGTCTGCTTTGAAGTCCCAGACACATTCCTCTTGCAGTAATTATCCAGTGTTACCACATTCCTGCGTGGAGCAGGGCAGTACATCATCTCTAGCTATCTCTGCCTGTGATCTCTGACACCATGGCGTTTGCTCCCCCTTGGTGGTGTCTTGAGGCGAGCCTGCGCTGCTGAGCACAGCACCGGACAGAAAAGGTTTCCACTGAGAAATGTCAGTTACAGATTGTGTCCAAGTTCCTGCAGCTAGAGAACCAGATTCAGTCAAGAATCCTTGCTGTAATCAATTTTGGAAGAAAAGAACTTTTAAGAGTATGTATAAATATGTAATTCAGGTTTCATATCTAATTTATTTGCCCTCTGTGAGTGCTGAAGTCACATTACAAACATTTGCTTTTTAGTACATTGCCTGGGAAAACACAGCCATGATTTTGCTACGTTAGCATTCCAAACGTCTTTGCCAAGCCAACCAACAAAGTAATGGACAAGACCTTTGGTTCACTTATATATTTATGAATGGAAAAAGTCATAATGTAAATTTACTCGTTAAAAAAACTCGGGTACAAATTACACATACATAAGACCACCCATTTTTGATTCACATGGACACCTTAGACCCAAACAACTCATTGTAATAGACTTCAGTGAGAATACTCCAGGTAAAGATTACAACAATTGGAAGCATCTTGGATTTTTAAAAAAGTATATTTCAATACATAAGTTTGTATGCATGCTTTTAACAAATATAGTTCAAGAATGAGCAAAGAGTCTAAACAAAAAGTAATATGACCAGCACTAACAATAAACTTCTCATCCAGATTTTAATATGTTAGTCTAACATAGTGTTAGTTACCATGCTGTACTGAAAAATGTAATGGCACAATCTGATCATGGTTCATTAAATATTATACCCTACTTCCCCAGAATATTTAGGCTGGTCATAAAATTAACAATGCTTAAGTAAATAAGTATAACCAGTTATAGACAGTTGCTTGTTTTACAAATTGCCATCAGGTGAGACGTACTGTCTCCAGAGACTTAAGAGAGATGGACATTCAATCATACCATTAAAAGAGCACGGCCTGAAGAAATGGGCACATGTTTTTTGAAAGTATATTAAGACAATCCTGTTAGCTTTTAGTTACCCCTTGTAAATAATCACGGTATGACTGAATGCAAGACCCAACTTTGAAAAGCAAATGATTTAATCGGCATAGTGCATGATTGATTCAACGTAATTCCCAGGAAACAAGCCGGTTACTCGATTGCAAACTCCTTCATACCAGCCGTCATCGTTCTTCTTTATCACGTAAATGATTGCACCCTCCATAAACGACAGCTCATCATCTTTGTCCTTTGTATAGTCATATATAGCAACAACTGTGGATTGAACAGGGACATGTTTAGCATGTTATTAATAGCACCAGTATTAACATTTTTTGAGGTACAATTAATTTTTAAAAGACTAGCTTGCTATCCTGGGATTTTCTGTAATGAATTCTCTTGCTTTCTCTGTTGAACATTAAGTCCAGAAAATGAAATTTCACTTCTCTTGCAATATTAGCCACCAGTAAGAAGTGCGTGGCAACTACACCGAACACTCAGTTGAGCTACAGCAACAGTAAAGAAGAGTATATGGACACTTAAAAGCTGAACTGTGAAATAACCGGCTCCATGAGTGCGCCCATCACTGCGGGTCAGATTGTCTCCACAGATCCCTCCATAGGGATCTGGTGATTAGAGAAAGCCGCTGTATGGAAATGGGCAGTCTTTGCTACAGAGCTGCTATGTGGGAAGAAATTTTGGCATTTCTTTTCAAAGTGCTGCAGTGAGTGCAAGTATAAAAGTTACTGTAGGAAAAAGCAGCAGCAAATTTACAGCAACGTCAGCTCGTTTTCCGTACCTGCTTGGTGAATACATTACTCTTCCCAACCTCCAACTCGTTGCAATTAACAAAGCAAAGACTTCCCTAAGGAAAGTAATTGTTGCCACCAGTAATACTGGAATTAAAAACTACTGCTGTGAATATACAAACTTTGGACATTGTGGCCTTACTCTTTAAAACCGTTAACATGGATTTTTGCAATTGACTTGTTTGATGAATTCCTATTTTTTGTACCTATATTCTCAGAAATCTGGTGCCGTAACGCCTAGCAAATCATGATTCGGTGTACCACTTGCGGTGTACCAGTTATTTTCATCCCATGGTACTTCCTGCACACAGTCCACGTGGGAGTGACAATGGAACAGAGCAGTTCTGCCACGACAGGTATCACAGGTACCCTACGCTCCATTTCCTACGCACTACCCCACCAGCCAGAGCAAGAGAAAACTTGCAACGTCGCTGTTGACAAAATGGTTGTCGTCAGAACACAGATGACTCCACAGGCAGGAAACCAGCACATCTCAATTATTCATGGGAAGAGACATTTCCTAGAAGCGTTCCTACCTAAGCACAATTTATAGTCTGCTGATCAAGAGTCACTGACGGGTCTCCAAGGAAGCCTTGCTGCATTTTAAGAGCTGAAAGTCTAATGACCCACTCTAGCTCTCTACTTTGACGGGATAAATAGAGCTTGGACGTTCTGACCTTTTTGCAACACTATTTCTAGACAATTGCCCAGCAATCCTGAGGTACCTACAGTCCAGCAGCTCAGCAAAGATAAAAGCCACCCAATTTACATCTGTTTCTCATAACAAAGCATTTTTTTTATCCATTCTAGAATGCTTGAGGTATTTTATAATCCTTCCAAAGGAGGATTTTATTTTACCACATTAGGTGTAGCCACAGACAAAGTATTAAAAGAATGGTTTGAGTTTTGACTTAGCAGGGACAATGACTGTTTTCATCGAACCCAGGCTAAGTCCTTCATTCCCTTCAGATACCATTAATCCTCTCATACTCTGGTACAGAGTTGCAATGTTTCTCTTACCTTTCTCTATATAGTTTTTAGGTGCCCAAGCAGGATCTCCATCTGCATAGGGATCACTGTACTGCACAACAGCAGCCTCCTCATCCTCATAATCCACAGGGGGTGGGGGTGGAGGAGGAGGAGAGTCGTCAAACATCGGCATCTCGTCTGGAGGCGGTGGTGGAGGAGGAGTCGGGCTATCAGCAACTAAAAACGTTTGGAGATTATTTTTTTTCTTAAATCAAAACAGTGTGGAGATGCAAACAAACCTGAGGCCGTACACTGTGAATAAAAAGGGTGGGGGAACGACACACACAGCATGCACTATAATACCATGCACCGATTAGAAACAGAGGCTTTGTATTAACGGCTACGACACACAACTACATTTGTTATTAGTGGTCAAATCTATGTAAAAATGCTACTAGAGTCAAAGCACATGCTGCAGGGCATAAGCTGAACACCAGCAGAGAGGAAAGCTTGCTGCTCTGAAGTCCATGCGCTGAGGGGCTATAGCTGCAGCAGTTCGCTATGGGAGGACTCCGAGTGGCACCCTCTGAGCCAGGCAGCAACAGGCCTCTGGACTGGACCAGCAGCTCAATTGCTTTTTAACAAATCCTTCGTCACTTTATTTCTGAACACTGCTTCCTTGGATTCCTTCTCTCTCAGAGCTAGCAGTAAGTGGACAAAAAGATTTCCTGCTGGATCATAAAAAAGGGAGGAGACTAGCATTTCAGACTGAACCAGGTAAGAGAAAGTCCAGTAATCCTTCTGCAGAAGAAAAGCTTTGTACAGATCCTTATCTTGCAGACTAGCTTGCGTATGTGCACACATCTAAGATTCAATTAATAAATGGAAAACTACAACGGGCAGCTGCTGCTCTTGGGGCAAAAGTGCTCAAGGAATTAAGTGTATAATCCAAAATGTCAAATCCCTGCCCTGAGATTCTCCAATCAGCACAATTACAAGTCACTTTGGGAAAGGGGGAAAGAGGAAAGCATTATGGTACAAATCACTCTTAAAATCAGTTCATCAAATTAGTTTTCAGTAATGTTCACAGCAGCTGGCAGTGAGGGAGAAAGAGAGAACGCTCAGATGCAAGACATCAAGTCACTTGTCCTATTCCTTGGGAACTGTGCTCCACTACACACAGACCTAGGTGTAAGCACTATGAAGCCAACAGTTACTGAAACGAAGCTACTCTCATCATCTCAACTTTGTTATATAGCAAAACAGACTTAATTACAAGAAATTTGGGAGTCTGCACATTGAAAAAACAGGCTGAACACCACAGCTCTAAGAAAGGGTTTGACTGGAAGGAGCCATCAGGCTGGGCATGTGCTCCAGAACGCGGAGCTCCAGCACACTACTCTAAATCTGAGAACAAAGCCAAGCTGCAGAGCAAGGGAAGAACACTAAGCAAAGCTTTAGCTACTGCTCATTACAGTGGCACTGGAGATCAGAAATAGGGTTTCTGTTTGCTTTATTATTCTTTCCTTTCACCTGGCCACCACTCCAGCAGTGACTAACCTTTGCTCTTCAGCCACATGCCCCTGAGAAGGGGCTAGAGCACAGCTCCCATTTAGCCAGGTCAGACCAGCTGCGCTGGTATAGGGGAAGCCAAACCTCCTGCTGCGAGGAGGCAGAAGCCAGCAGGAGCTGTTG